CCCCTCCCGACTCCTTCGCTTCCCGTTCATACCGAAATGCTCAACTCCTAGTGTCGGCCCATCACCAAAAGCAAAGCAGACTCGATAGACTCGAAAGACATGGCTTTACTTTCTTTGTCTTGTTTCCATCACCGTTTCTCTTACACATGCTATCTCAAACGATACTCGAGTCTCAACGGACTTACTCAGTGACAAACAAGCCCCTGGCTGGCTACGCCAACGCCAACAAAAACTCGCCGTACGCAATTTCCAGCAAAAACCCTCTCCCCTCCGCTCTCTTGAGTTTCCTTCCCCCCTCCTTAACCCTGTGCTCAGGCGCAGCGGGACAATATTTGTTATTAGTGCCTCAGGCCAACAATGCGCCCTGCGTGCCCTGTTTCCTGCACTAAGATTTCCCCTTATCCACCGCCAGTCAAGGTTTGGTCTAGCGCCAAATTTTGGTTATTGTCTCGTCTCTTCTCTTCCATGTCTCTCTGTCTCGTCTTTTCTTTGGGGGGCCACTGTCACTGGAGTGGGAGTGTCCCCGTTCCTCACTCTCACACTTCCTTCTCAGGAACTTCTGCCCAATCCAGCCCAGAAGCACCAGGAGAGGATACCAAAAACGGTCCAGTGACCCATTCGATTTTTGGCACCCTCTTATGCTATCACTGCTGCTTCTGCGCGCCGAGATTGAGTGGGAGCCATCAAGAGAATGAGACGGGAAGCGTGAGCCGCTGATGAGGTGAAGACACCAGAGGTACGTACTCTTGTTTTCTGCCCTTCCGTTACCTTACCTGAGGTGCTCTCCTCCCCCTCTTAGCCAACTGGAAATGGAACCCCAGGCAGGTCCCAGGTCGGTACCTCAGTACCAGCCCAGCCCAGCCTACCACCAGTGAGCACCAGCACCAGTACCGCACTTGTCTTGAAGCACTCCCGGGCTGGTCGCTCCTCCCCATCCTCTTTCTTCCCATCACCCACCCTTCTTCGTGCAGTCCACGATCTTCAACCTTCACTTCTCGTTATCTCCATTCTGCTTCAAGCGCTCCTTGTGTATGGATTGTGTTTGAGTAGTCTCAAATCTTGTTTCTCTTGATTTTTCCATCGAGTTTCGCCACCTACACATTTAATCTTCGTCTCATCCGCGCTCGACACCTCGACCATAACTCGTCTCAACCCTGCCGTGACCGATCACAACGAGATTTGCGAAAACACAAACCGACCGACCGTGTCCCCAACACGCCTCCGACTCGCGTCTACGCTTCGTATTCGACGTCTTCTTGTCAACTTGATCACAACTGTTGACTTCGTTTCCCCCGTTGTCGCGCCGCTGGCCCTCCACCCTTTGTGTCGACGCCTCGACCTGCCTCGAGTCTCTTGTTCGACGATTGCGATTCCTGGCGGTCGGAACACGATCCACCCTTGTCCTGCCGAATGAGAATACCTTAAACCTCTCTGGTTTTCGATCCCTTCTTACGGTCTTCCCGGCGCGCCATCTGAACGGCGTCGTCATGCTCCAAAGACCGCGACAGTAGATTAACACATACCCCCTTCAGGTATTCACTACATTATCTCTAGCACAGATTATGACCGACAGACCAGCGCCGCTGTCTACGCATTCTGCGACTCCTAGTCAGATCGCCCCTCTTTCTCTTTCGGGCGCAACGCCTAATGACGAAGTTGCCCAACTGATTGAGGGAGCGGAAGAAGAGCCATACACTATCAAGTGTATATGCACCTTCTCTGTCGATGATGGAAACACAATCTATTGCGAGTCGTGTGATTCGTGGCAGCACATCGACTGCTTTTACCCTGACAATCGAGAGGAAGCCGTGCGCGAAGATTTTGCACACTCGTGTGCAGAATGCAAACCGCGCCCTCTCGACCGTCAAAAGGCTTATGATCGTACACTGCGCTTAATAAATGGAGCAACGGACGAGCCTGCCGACAAACGAACAAAAAGACCACCTTCCAAAAGCCATAAGAAGAGATCGAGGCCTGCGGAGCTACCAATAAATGGCCATGCGAGTCCGCAGGAAAATGGAAAGCATGGTCATTCTGGAGATCATCACCCTCCTCCCAAAAAGGCGAAGCATCGCTCATCACACTCTGTCAGTTCTCAGGCTCCCAAACGGAGCCCTTCATACGGAAATGGCCGATCAAATCATGCCCACCCTCCCAGCCCTGCAACTACCCCTCCCGACCTTCCTGATGATTTTCAAATCCATCATTATTCTGAAAAGTTCTATGACCTATATAATGCCAGGGATGTCCCCGAGTCACGGAACAATGCTTTTGCCAGTCTTGCCATTCCTACTGCGCTATCTCGCTGGCTTCGCGAACCCAATACGATGCGGAGTGAAGTTGGCAGACGCCATTCGGAAGTATTCCAGAAGGCTCCCTCAAACTTGGAAGCCAACAAGCCTAAGCTTGAGGTCAGTGATGCAACACGAACACTGGATGATGGCAAAGCTCTTAGATGGAGGTTTCTCAAATCAAGTACACCAATCGAGAAGGATGTACCTCTTGTTGAGCTAAATGGTGAAATTGGGTTCCAAAAGGACTACTGTGCTGAACCTGTCAACCTCTGGGCAGATTTATCTTCGCCTCTCCCGTTTGTCTTTTTTCATCCTGTTCTCCCTTTGTACATCGATACAAGACAAGAGGGCTCTCTTGCTCGATATGTTCGCAGGAGTTGTAAGCCCAACGCTCAGCTTGATACATATCTTTCCGGAGAAAACGAATACCATTTCTGGATCGTTAGCGACAGATATATCTCCGCCAATGAACAAATCACTTTGCCCTGGGATTTCCGACTGGAAAAGAGTGTGGATGCACGATGGCTTCATCTTCTTGGCCTAAGTGACGATGACTCGACCAACAATACGGAAACTCCGGTAGATGGGACAGAATACATGGCAATATCGAATTGGATAGATCGAATTCTCTCCGAATACGGCGGGTGCGCTTGCGATCTGGATAACAACTGTGCGTTCGCACGATTTCACCGTCAGTATCTCTTCGGCAAACCCCAAGGACGTGCGCCAGCAAAAAAGAAATCCAGAAAGCCGAAAACACAAGCCATTTCCCCAACAAACACGGGGCAGACTGTCACCAGTCGAGCCACGAGTGAAGGCCATGTTGACGATGCTGGGGATAATGATAACAGATCCCAATCTGGGTCTATGCGAAGCAAGCCACCAAGTCGTGACCTTACACCTCTTCGCCAAGGATCTTTCGACCAATTAGGCATACTGACTGAGCCAACGGATCGAGACAAGCGGAAGGTTGCTATGGTTGAGGATTCGTTCCGTCGCATGGAGCAGCAACAACCCTCACGGAAGAAAAAGCGAGTATCAGATGGTACTGGTTCAACATCCTCTAAGTCGAAACATCGCAATGGCTCAGTTGCGTCTCATGGCAACTACGTGGATGCTGGGACTCGCAGGAGCCACTCAGGATCCCCTGCTAGCTCTTCTCCTCATATTCAACAAAGGCCGTCAATCTCGAATCAAGACTCCGCAGCGACCCCATCACGCCAATCATCAGCTTCTCCCAGAGGAGTATACTGTGATGCAGCGGTACAAACGGACCCTGTCGAAGGCGCCTGGTTTAGTGGGCCACATCAATCACCTCGTCCCAAGAAGCGGATCATTTCGCTCTCGAAGCGACTCCTAAACAGCCGCCATAGAGTCCGAGCTGAAGGAGAGGATCTACGCAGGCGGTCATCTGTCAGCCAACTATCTAATGGCACCATGATGGAAGTTGACTCGCCTCTGGAGAACGAGGTAGTCATCAAGCGATCGGATTCAGAATTACCACCTTTGTTTTCCGCATTAGGGGACACACATATGGCAGATGCCTCTTCACCAACAACCCCTGTACTAGGATCGGCTGCGAGTGACACATCGACCAAGACAAAAACTCCCGACCTACGCGTGCAGCTACCTCCTGTGCCAGCCTTCGATAGTGCAGGACTGGGGATTCACAACGCAACAACGCCAAAATCTGGTGGCGTGGGTCACTCCCCCCTTGCAGGTCCATTGCCAAGTCCATTCGCTCCGCCGGCTGTAAACGGCATTGTTACCCACCCTAGTCCTGTTAAGAAAAAGCTGAGCCTCAGCGACTACACTAAAAGCCGGATGAACAAGGCTGCCGGGAGAACAGCTGGAGGCCACGCCGTTCTTAAGCCTTCTATCTCGAGCCCTGAGGACACCAAGGTTGATATCATGGTCGATTCCCCGTCGATTGAGAAGCCGGCGGAGACTGTGATCATGGCTCCTGTAGCCGCTGCCAATGCGTCTTCATAAAGAATGAAGTACCTGTACGTTTAATGTGTCAACCGTTTCAAGATTTTCTTTGTTGTTTCGTTTGGAATTGGGGATGACGGGATCAAAAGCCTGGAGTTCTTTCCTTTATATACACTGGCTGGTACGTCAGATGATTACCCCTTTGATTTGGCGTTTAAGGAGGTTGTGGGATTATGGATGCTGGGATTGAAGGGTTCTGTCAATCGAACCCTGGCATCTAAATATGGGAACGGCGCACCAGGTTTGGTGCCTACGGGTCATGAGATTTCTCCTGAGGGAGAAAAAGCAGAGATGTTAGGTGGTCCTTGTTCGGGATATTTTTTGATTGATGTCCAGTTGAAGAGGGTTGGCCATGAACCAAAACAAGTGAAGAGTAGGATGGAGTAAATCTCTTACGGAAAGATGCTGAAGGAATCGTTGTATGTAATTATAGGCGTCAATCCTACTTGCAGGTACTCACCACAGTCATGTTGCATTGCCCGTAACGATGGAAAATACAGCCCTTTAAAGATTCAAGGGCCATCTTGAACCGCAACCTCTTGTGACATGGTGAGCCAAAGGACAAAGATGATATTAATAGTAGGCAACACTCATTCCGTGACATCGTGGTTAGTATTCTAAATCATTAACTTTCCAACCAGTGGAATGATAATCTATCTGGACAGGTGATAGGGTTGTGGCTCTGAGAAAGGCGCAGCCCCTTTTCTTTCTGTGTTAATATTGCGCAGCAGTCCCCCAGTTATCTTCCTTAAAGACCAACAATGCGAGACGATGCCTCACAAACAGTCCAAAGAACCCAGCAACAAGCTGGAGCATAGTAATCTCCAAGGCCAATCGATCTTCACGGAGTGGTCCCCGCCAGACAAGCCAGAGGTTGAGGATGGTAAAGTTGCTTGTCTCGACAAATTGACCCTTTTCATCGATTGTTACCTTCACCAGGCGTACCTTGTTGAGAAAGTGTAGGCCATGGGCGACCAAGGGATGGGGTTGACGCTCGGGTGACCAGGGGGTCACAGACGGCTCCATGAGGCCAGACCGGGCGTTGAAGTGAGGAAGTCGGTGGCGTGGGCAGGGAATCAGACCGAAGACCTGGGGGCATGAGTAGAGGAAGTTAAATATTTGAGGAACAAGGAGGAGTCCGAGAGTCTTTGAAAAGTGGCCGAGGATACCGACAACAGCAAAAACCATACCCGAGAAATAGCAGTAGGTATCGCCGACAAACACCTTGGCAGGATACCAGTTGTGGAGGAGTAAGGCAAACGAGACGCCTATCCACGGGAGGAGAAAGTAGAGTGAGAACAAGTGCGAGTCGGTAGCAGGGTGAGGGTATGGCGTAAAGAGGTACAGGCAATCGTTGAAGACGAGGAGGAAAGCGATGACGATGCATTGCGAGACTTCAATGCCGTTTATGCCTGCCAGCATGTTGATGCTCTGAGGGCAGAACATGGCAACGCACGCCATGTAAACGTAGTAGAGAAACCCGAGATCAACGAGCTCGCCGAGGTACGGCTGAAGCTGGAGAGGTAGGACAATAGAAGTGACGTCAAAGTCGACAAAGTAAACGACAAGAAGAGGGATCGAAGCCAGGCCGGGAATCCACCATTTGTGTCGCCAGCGAATATCGAAGAGATCATCACCAATACCGAGAAGTGCAATTGTCTGGAGAGAGATGATGGCACCCAGGAATGACGCGAGCTAGCGACGAGGTCAGTAAAGCACCAGACCGACATGCATGACATGCATGGCATGCATCTCTGGGTACATCTGCGCACCTTGTTGTGTGGAAAGCGATGTAGAAAACGGCCCTGGTTGACGTGCTGAAGCTCAACGACGACATCGCGGTTCCCACCGCCACTAGTCGCCGCAACAATGTCCTTGTAGAACGGGAATGGGATGAAGACGATGACACTGAGGAGGTAGACCGCAGCGCACACGGCACCCATGCACTCGGGGATCTCGGCGCGGTTCACCTTGCTCATGTCACGGCCTTGGAAGCCAGCACGCATGAATGTAGGGCCTAGCCAGCGGATCATGGCGAAGCAGAGCGCAAAGGCGAGAACCGATAGGGCCAGAGATGCCATGAGGGGCTCGCCATCACCATGGAGGGTATTCGCGAGGACCGCGAAAGCAGCTGCGGAGACGGTCGAAAGTGTAAGTGTTTCAGAGCGAGAGAGTGAGGTCATCATGGTTGTAGTCATGATGGGCTGTGGCTCTTGGCCTTGGCGTTGTAGTAGAGTACCAAGTATGGGTGCGCGATGATGATGATGATGGGTTGGGCGATGCGTGATGAGGGTTAAGAGAGCATCATGGAAGACGATATTGGGGGAAATCGCCAGCAGAAATGCGGCTGCTATGAGTTGTCCAATACAATGCGCTCCGCTACCTACCTAGGTACCTATTAAAGCAGAGCAAAGTCTATGACTAGGTAGGTAGGTATTGTTGAGGTGAAGCTTGGTGACACGTTGTTACACTGCGGAACACGGCCGGGGCGGGTGTGGAGTGGCATATGAATTACGCGGAAACACGTGCAAAATAGGAGATTGATACAAAGATCAACACCAGGGATTATCAGTTAGTCGGTAAACTACTCTCGTGAAGATTCATGCTTCTTAAATTAGTCAGTCAATAGATTTTCATCCATCACCAACGCCCTCAGCCTAGCATATACGGGTATGCAACATAAGGTAGGTAGGTAATCATCGATTCATTCGCTCTTGAGGGTATATCGACATCGCTTCCGCCTTGAAACCACGTACAAGCAAATGACCAAATCTAAGGTAAGCGGAGAGTTCCTATCCCACCCAGTATAGTAAAACAAAGCAAAGCTGAGGCATCTACTAAGCCCATTATCAGTGAAACTCCCAGCTGAACCCATAATCCAAAGCGCCTGTGTCCGGAAATCGTAAAGTAATCCATCTAACTTTTGGTGCCCAATCGTCCATTATCCTTTTTGCGCATGTGTCGGGTATCTCGTGTTCAATATTGTTGTCGTCTGTCTTTAAATTTCCTTCACAAAGCCCACCTCTACCAGACTATCGGGGTCGATATCCAAATTGGCCAGCTTGGTCCGTGAATTCTCCCGGATCCACAAGAATGCTTCAAGTGCTACCCGGCGTATGATACTGGAAATACTCCTCTTTTCTGGCCTTTGCACCCGCATAGTCTGTTTGCCCATGAGATAAACTGTTTGTGCTTCTTCGGCGGCCCGCAGCGCTTCAAGCTCTCCTCGAAACTCTGGCGGCATGTCATTCTCATCAGGTGGGAAAGGACCTCGGGTGATAAAGGTCATCAACTCGTTAACAATCGTAGGCGCCAAGTTCGGTGTGAGAACGTCATCCATGTAACCATGTCGCAGAACAATACGATAGCATGAAGGAATTTTTGCTGTAACACGCGCAATGACGAACCGTTGGTCAGATGGAACCGTAGGCTGAGAGAGTGGGCGCATGTGGAAGAAGACGATCACCTGTGGCCTCGTCTGGAACTTTCGAACGAACTGCGAGAATACCTTGGGGATGTGATCACCACTCCCGCCCACTTTGTCGAAGAATATTCCGAGTCCTGGAGCGACCATTACTTGTCCGCCTCCAAACTCTGGTGAAAGCCTCAGCCTCGTCGAGCGCAGGGAGCCTTCACCTTGAATTCCCCTTGCTATTGAGTTGTTTCTCGAGGTACTCCGAGAGGACATGAGGAACTCTGCCGGGTCCACCATGTCCCTTTGCTCTGCTTCCCACTGCTGTTCTTTTCCCCATCGCCAAAGCATGACGAATGAACTAAGGATGGCGGACAGGACCAGCGCAAACCAACCACCGTCGGGCACCTTGTTCATTGCTGCACTAAGATAAATGCTGTCGAGCAGGATGAAGATGAGAAACCCGATGAGAACAACGATTGATGAGACACGCCAGATGATGAGTGCCACTAGTGACACCATGCACGTTGTAATGAAGCTAACGATAATGACACATGCGCCATAAGCATGACCCAAGCTCGTTGTCTAGTTCAAATCAAGTCATGTCAGACGAGTTCGTTTCAAAGTGACACAATGAGGCTGGGTGGGTGACTTACATTGTTATAAACCGCCGTAACCACAACAGTACCGGTCATGAGTAGCCAATTTGCCAGTGGCATATAGATCTGGTCGTGGAATCGACGGCTGGTGTGAACAGTCTTGATGTGAGGAAAGTAGCTGAGCCTCATCAACTGAGAAATGAGTTGGAAAGAGCTGGTGATCACGGCCTGGCTGGCGACGACAGCAGCGAGTGCAGCAATAATGATACTGAAGTACAGTGTGCTTTCGGGAACAGTGCGAAAGAATGGGTTGGTAAAGGCCAGCCCAGTTTCATCCTGTGAAATATAAGCAGCCTGGCCACAATATGTGATCAACAAGCACGGGAATGCCAGGAACAACCATGAAAGCTGGATGGCTCGCTGTCCAAAAGCACCCAGATCTGCAAAGAGTGATTCAACGCCGGTGAAAGCGAGAAGCAATCCACCAAGAGACTTCCATCCATCAGAATCGTTTCGTATTAGGTATTTGAACGCATAATGTGGGCTGAAGGCCTTGAGTACGGTATGGTCGTACAAGACAAGATTGTATATGCTGATGGAGAAGTTGTAGAGGAGCCAGACAACAACGACGGGAGCGAAAGAGGTGCCGATTTTGGAGGTGCCAATGAACTGCAGCAAGAAAAGCGCAATGAGAATCCCGCACGAGGTCCCCACGATAGCCGGTCTTCCCAGATCAGGTCTGATAACCTGAATCCCTTGGACGGCGCCCAAGACGGACTGAGCTGGTGTCAGAATGCTGTCGGCCACAACCATGGAAACGCCCAAGACGCCAACAATCTTGAGGACGCTTTGTGCAACCCGACTACGTTCCAGAAAATCCCGGGCCATTCTCCCAGCGGGGGCGAGTTCGGCGCCCGTCTCACGATCGAGGCGCACAACAATTCTTTCCGGGCCGTTGGGATCGACGCGGGCAATGTTGGCATATCGAGCAAGGAGAGAGTAGAGAGCAAAAGTTCCTCCTTGACCATCGTCGTCGGCTGACAGGACGATGAAACAATATTTAAGTGTTACGATGATGGTGAGGGACCAGATGATTATCGACAGAGCTCCCACGAGGTCGTGCCATGACGGCTGCTCGCTAAAAGTCGAACTGAAAACATAAAGGGGACTGGTGCCAATGTCGCCATACACAACACCGGTAGTTTGCCAGGCGAGCCATAATAAGACCGCGCCCTTGTACGTCTTTTCGAAACGAGAAAGTCAGACCTCCATTCACAACGTCGCACATTTTATTCCCCTGGAACTAGGACCTACCTGCTTCTTGTCGCGACACAGATCCTCGTGCTCGATTCGCTGGGCCTTTTCCTGGTCATGCAGGTCGCGGGCTTCGGGATCAGTGGGGGCGGCATCCTCGCTTTCTTCGGCGGCCGCGTTGACCCAGGCTTCTATTCTCTGGTTGCGGGCATTGTAGGAGATCATTTCGATCTGGAGTCGGCAAGGTAGGCCACTTGGTGACGCTGGGTCCGGAGGCCAAAGGGCAAAGGCAAAGGGACTAAAACCTGGGGCTCATGCTTATATACTCGGCCATGTTCTGACTATGTACCTTGGTTAGTTAGGATGGTGGTGGATAATGGCGAGCCTAATCCTAGATGAGAACGCCATGGCTAGGCGAAACTGGGCTTTCCTGGTCCACTCTGCCAACAGCCACAAATCCTCGAGACTCGTGGACGGTGAACATCTTGACTGCCAAGACGTCCATTGGCAAGTGTCGGTGGTGCTGATAGGTCCAGGCGTACTCGGGATAGACCATCATGTCTTGAGCCTCTCCACCGAAGCTCAAGAAGGGTTTAATGGTCCGTTCTATCTGCGTGCTGAGGAGATGCACGCATATGCAGGCTTGAGGCTGTGCGTACCAAGGACCCAATTTTCCCCTCACTTGCAGATGACTATACCCACGATGTCGCCGAAGTGCTGCTCACACTCGACTCAAAAGATTCGAGAAACTGTCAAGGGGGGACCGTTCCCTGGTGGCTACTTTGAGTCAGTCCAATGACGTGCCGCCATCCATCCAGGTCACCCTGTCATCCTCCAATCTAAGCGTTGAGAAGTGCGGGGGCTAGGGGGGGTAGTCAAACTGGCCCATGAGCAGTTGGAGATGATACTCTACATAGCGTGTTGCATTCGTACCGAGCGCCAAGACACTTGGGTTTCTCTGCTCTTTGCAAAGAGTCTTGGCTGCTTATTTGTTGCATATGCTTTCGTAGAAGGGTCCTTCATCGGCCGTCCGAGAACAAGTTGATCGGCTTACCGAGTCTTTCCGTATGACGCTCGAGTCAGCTTTTGGTTGTATCTGTTGTGTAGTATCATGCATACCAGAACCCCTGCCAAAATACTTGTCAGTTTAACAGCTTTAGCCAGTGCCCCACGTGAAAACTTGAGAGGTTTGGGAGTCCTGGAAGTCTTACGTTAAATAGTGTGATTGCGGTTCTCTCATGCTGGGCCAAGACTCTATACCGTCTTGTATCGGGCAATACTCCGTACTGTACGGAGTAATGGTGCACTTAGCATATTACGAAGCCATCCCCACCATCACCATGTGCATGGAATCAAGAGGCCGATGCCAATGCCGATGCCAATGCTGCGAGTCTGAAACTGACCTGTGTAATGATGATAAGTGGGTGTGGTATAAAAAGTGCCTTCCTCTCAAGGCCAGTTGCATCAAAAATCGGAGTTCGTGATGTTCCTCAAAGTCACGATTGCCATTATTGATTAGTACCCTGCTCTGGTACGACCTTGGGTAACCACGAAGGCTGGCTGCTACCTCAAGAACCCACAGGTGCGGAGAAAAGAGGCGCCTGCACGATGGCGGCTGTCTACGAATAGGTAAGTGTAGTATGTATTTGGGTAAGGTAGTTGCGTAATCGCTGGCCTTTCTATTAGTTAGTAGGTAGTAAGGTAGGCATTCTAACTGCTTACATATCAGAGTTGATTGGCAATCTATCATATTGAGTCTTCGATAGCCATTCCAATATAGATGATGATACTATGATGAATTATGTAACTCGCTGTAGAGTCTTTCACATTCAGTGCTTGTGGATGGATAGACTGCGAGGGTAGTATTCCGTATTTAGTCATTATTCCACTCCGTACCTAGCATATAGTACATAGCTTGTAAAGGCCGATTACTCATGATGCCTCCATCACCTTTCGCTCTCATGAGTTCTCTAGCCTCCTACTATAAATGGTCATTCCTATATTCTACCATAGGTAAACCTGAAGTACCTATGACAAACTTAAATCTGTACACGAGGCCATTTCTGATATCGTCAAGAGCATAGCCTGTGTGTGCGTGTCATGGGGATTGCCAAGGTGAGGTATAAGAAAAAGATGCATCTAGCACGTGTCTCGGCATTAATTCTCATCATTCGGTTCTAGGGTATCCTGAAGATCCACCATACCCCTCCGCGTTAAGAAGTCAAGTTCGACGGGAAGAGTTGCCTGTCGATCCTCAGTACCATGGCGCGTTATAGAACCCGATCAATGATAATACCACCCGGCAAATATCACCATGACTACTAACCTAAATCTCATCGATGATGTGGGTACCGACTTTCTGCTGCCCTCTCATATTATACTCATCAAAATACCGGAGGAAGTAACTTGGATTATAGCATTCAGGAACTGATTATATACCCCTGTTCCTGTGAAGCATCGAGTTTCCAGTGCATAAACTCACCATCCGCACTAAAAGATGGCCCATATCATTTTCCTGAGGAAGTGGTCGTCAGGTGTCTAGTTCATGCATCGACGTGCGGAGCGGAGATTTTACGATGAGGCGTGTATTCGCCAAGTCTTTCCAGACTGCAACATGCAGATATATAGCACCATCAGGAGACGCCAAGTATGTGACTATCAGATGAGAGGCCTCAAACCAAGTCCCATGTAACAAGGTACGACCAGCCCATTGCGCATCTACCGAACTTGGCGAGGAATTCTTTGCCTGTGACTCCCCTTGCATCTTCGCGATCTCCGAACTTCGTGAGAACAAGCAGCCGTACCGACTTGCCCCGAGGCCCGAGATCGCTTGCATTGACGTCAAGCCAATACCAATATCCATTTGTTTCCATGGGTATCATCTCTTCCTTCTGGCCATTGCCTCTGGGAAGGCAGAGGAGCACCAGCCGCTCTTTGCCACCACACATCTTCTCTGACCAGTGTTCGCAAACCTTTGAGTATTGGAATCGCACAACCTCACCACTGTCAATAGGTATATGCCGCTGCTTCGGCTCTACACTGGACTCGGCGATGCCCTCTTCAGCAGTAGTCGAGCACATTCCATGGGGCTCGCCATCAATTCCTCCAGTATAGTAGTTTTCCCACGTGACTGGTAGGCCGTCCGCCCTGAATTGATACCGTGATTCAGACGGGAAATGTCTGAGGCCAAAGTTCTCATTTGCGTTGGTGAATTGCAGAGGAGAGAATTTGGGCTCGTAATTTTGCCCATTTACGTGTCCAGCACCCCAGCATGCGTCCAGCAACTTCCAGTCACCGCCATCGATTCGCACTGCGTTCCAAGCATGTCCGGTTGGATCTGCTCGGGGTGGACGCTCGCCCTTCTTGAGCGGAGTGTATCCAAAGCCCTTCCCGTGACCGGTGACAACCACACATTCTAGGCCAGCTCTGTTGGCGATCGCTTTGTATGTTTCTGCATAACCTGCGCATACGGCTCTACCAGTAAAAATTGTATCTTCAGCCGTCATATGCCTTACATTGTTGCCAAAGAATGCAGCGGTATCATAACTAATGTTGTGATGGAACCAAGTAAAGATCGCTCGCGCTTTGTCCGTGTATGAGGGGAATGGACTACAAAGAACCTGAGCCAGATAACCCACTGGGTCATCCCTCGGCACAGAGTCTCGAGGATACTGCGCAGCTACATCATCTGGATCGCTCCAGTCCCGGCATATTAAGCATCCATATACTGGGGCAGATGGAGTGAGAGCCCGCGTCTCGAACGCTTCAATCTGGGCGACTGAGGGTCGAGAAGAGAGCGGCACTGGCGGCGGCTCATCTCCCGATTGCGACCGGCCTGGGATCGGAGGCCGTGTGGGCAGTGCTGGCTGGGAGTCCTTGGGTTTGTCCTTGTTGGAAAACCCAAGTATCACCGGTGTCTTCGCTTTTGAGTTCACCGGCGTTCTAGGGGGCAACTTTCTGGGTTGCGGCGCCGCTTGCGGTTCATGTGTAGCATCCGCTTGTGGTTTTGCTGGGCGTGAAGGCAGCCTTGGTGGCAGACCAGGTCGAGCTGTAGGTGCAGGCTCAATAGCCCGTGAGGGCTGCGGTGACGGCGGAGCACGATTGGGTTTCCCTGCCTCCCTGACGGCTGCTTCCTTTTCTCTTCTTGATGGGGGGAGTTTGGGGAGACTTGCAGGGTCATAAGCAGGTGGCAACTTATAGCCAGCTCCATCAGAGTTGACACTCGTCACTGATGAAGGAGGCCTGCCCGTAGATAACGAAGATATCGCTGAGTTCTGCGATCTCTCTGACGAGCCAGAGTTCCGCCGCACTGTTAGGCTAGACTGCGTTGACGGTCGCCTTGGTGGTAAAGACGGAGCGGACTGCATAGTTGGGGTCCGACTTGGGAGCGGAGGCGGGGCTCGTTGTTGGACATCATGCTGACCATTCTGCGCTGTTAATTGTGGTGTCGACGCTTTTCGCGTAGGGCGAGGAGGGATCGCCGGATTACTCTGCGATAGTATTGACGTGGTCGAAACAACCGGTACCGTCTGACTTCGGGACTCAATCGCTGGGCGGCCAGGAGGGGAAGGAGGCGGCGGTCGTTTGCGAACCGGTCCGGGACTTTGGCTTGGGGCACCTGTGAAACTCTTTTGTTTGTTGGGAGCAGCAATGCGCTCAGCTAGAGTGTTGAACTGGGGCTCCTCTGTGTCGGCCATTTCGATCCTCTAAGTCAAAAGCAAAGTTTCAAAGTTTTCGTATTCACAATATTTACTGAGACGGGAGGATGAAGGTAGTGTTGAAAGACACGATGGGATAATCTCTCTAGCTGGGAATGCAATTTTAAAGGCTCGGGTGGTGTATATAACAAAGATAGTAACGACAGACGTGGAAGATGTCAATTAGGTTTCAATAAATAAGAACGACAGTCAGAGTGAGGATGAGTAGAGGATGGAAGAAATACGACAGACGATGAAACGAATGGCTGACGGGTGCCTGGGTTGACCGAAGCGCTGATTCAAGGGGTCCAGAGGGATCGAACATAGCCACACAGCCCTGCAGGTGGACCCCGAGGGCCGCAGTTTAGAGGGCGGGGAAGAATGATATAGCACCAGGTCCACCAACTATAGTTTCATGATGCTCTTAGAGCCAACGTTCGCTTTACATTAGACTTGGAGAGCTGTTGGCCATGATTGCACTGACCGTAAAATATACGAGCGTCATAGTACGAGCATAATCCGTACACGAGCGTTAAATTATTTAACTGGCTGTTGTACTCGTCGATCCACACAACAGTCTGCCCTCCAACCATTTGATAACTTGGCTTTCGGCAATTACGTGCCTAGACCCAGATACTTATGATGATCGTAAGTAATCGAGATATTTCCCCTTTGTCTTGCTCTGCCACGTAATCAAAGGCAAAGATCAATGAGTTTTCTGCCATATGAGACTAGTCAGCGCAATGTTGTCATGACAATTATATATAGAGTACATACAATATCAGCGCTCAGTAATCACGCCGTTCTCTCGCATAACAAGCCCTAGTTAGAAGTGATCTCCGGATATGCAGAGAATAATTGTAGTGGTCAAAACACCGTGCCTCAGAATAGAATGAAGGGGACTCAGTCTAGCTATATATTACAATATCTAGCAAATAGGTGTTTTCTTGATCAATACCTTTGATTTTATAAACTCCTATCGTACAACTGATAGAGAAACAGAAAATTTCAAAACATAAAACAACCTAGATACTACCTACCTGGGTATGGATGCTAGGCTAACGGTGGGGGCGTTTTTGGGGCAGGCGCACTAGCTTGAACCTAGGTACCTAGGGGGTGAGAAAATACAGCGGACGGGCTTTGGTGGGAGATCAGCGATTTTTGGTGTAAGCCATTCCGCTGTTTTTCCTCACCCCGAGGGGTACCTAGCTTCCAGTCCTGTATCAGACGGCTAGTGCACGCCTGGACGGGAGATCTAAGGCAACGTTAGTCATTAGTTGCACTTAAGAAACCAGGATGTGGTTTTGGAGATGGAGTGTTTCATGCGGCGATCATGATAACTCGAGGCTGACAGGAAAATCATATTCATTTCCACCCGGGCTCCAATTATGTATCGTCTTGGTCAGTGTGCCTTTACCGCACACACATAAAGATAAAAACTTGCTGAGGTAGATATATGTCTTACTAGTAAAGACACTGATTAAATAGCTGAACAGAATCATCATAAAGTTAATATCTCTCAACTTCAGGGATGAACACTTAGTAGGAGTTGTACTTTGTGCTTTATGACTGTTGGCTTTCTTAATTAAGTTGCAGAAAAGAATGCATAACAAGTCTAATGTTGCCACGTGTGTAGGATGAAGTCAGTGAAGATTTAATATTAATATTTAAGCTCTTTAACGTCAGTAGCAAACTTAGCTGTCTCTGTTTGTGACTCATATAGAGTTAGCCTCCCCATAGTAGTGACACCTGGCATGAGATATATGTAAGTGTCCAGATGAAGTGTCTGAACACTATCATCCGTGGTAAAGGCAATTTATCATAAGAAAGGACCCAAGGCTGCTAAAAGCGGGATGCTCTACTTTCGTGATTCTGTATGAAACCGTGGGTGCCGTTAATATGCGTTGTTACACACCATTCGACCGGTAAAGACAAATTAAGCATCCAGGCACTTTAGGCGTTAAAAAGGTTAAGATATCGCCAAACTTCAACAGCTAACTGCACCCTCTCCACTGCTGGAAGAAACACTATAGACTACCTGTTCGAATATAGGAAGACGGTCATCTGGGTATCGTCCAGGTCAATGTTTCAGTGCGGCAAAGCCAAACTCGAGGTGCTGGCAGTCAGCAAGAGCTGCTACAACTACCTCTACTGAAGTAGAGTAAGTTTCTCCACTGAGTTACAGAGCAATGCGCACTGGGTCGAAGATCCTAGCTGGTCATCGTTGATCCGCCCCGCACTAGCCGCCATTCACAGCCAACCAACGACCAACAATTCAACTTCAGCTAACGTTAACCCAGAACTTGAGACTTGCGACTACGACCCCCAAAGCGGCTCGCGACTGATTTGACTGGGACTTGCTTGGATCTGCTTCTCCTGCATCCTTGCCTCGTTCTTTTGTTTCATTCCCTACTCAACCGAATGCTTCTTATCTTCATACACATCTCCCGATCCCAATCGTCGCTTCGATATCTCTCTCATCTCTTAGGCCCCAGTTTATAGCCTCCTCTTTAGCTCCTGCTGATCGACGCTATCCATTCGAACACATCCTACATCGGCGCATCTGCATGCCCAGCGCATCGCATCGCATTACCCCAGTCGCATCGCGAAATATCCATCCATCCGTCGCATCGTCTGTTGAGACTGAGGTCGTTCCACTGAGGGAGGACCTTCTCCTTCTACTCCTCGATCTATCCATCTGCTTCATTGTTCTCTCCTCGCCTTTGAGTCAGCCTAGTTGCCACGCTGCCCCCGCTCGATCATCATGGCTGCGGAGGCCACCGGCAACAAGGCTGCCACCCCGCCCAAGCGCAGACTCACCTTTCTCGATCTCCCAGCTGAGACCCAGCAGGACATCTTGTCGCATGTTCGTGACTAGACTCACAATGCTGTACCTCGTGCGACTTTGCTGACGACCCCATAGTGCTCCCAGTCCGAGTTGATATGTTGCGCTCTTGTATCTCGGCACTTTCATGAGTTGGCGTCCGCGCAGCTCTATCGTAGCTTCAATATCCTCTTTCCCGACGACGATGATGTGAGGTTCGAATCCCCAATCGATGGCCTCGCGGGTGGTCTCGACACCTTCACTACTAGCGAATACAACTACGCGAAGCACCTGAGAGAACTGTCTATGGATACAGTGAGCACTGGTGTGAAAGCCGAGCATGCCTACAAGCCGTATCTGTATAGTGCCAGTTGTGGCAAGTTCCTTAATACTTTACTCTATCTGACTCTGAGGAAAGCCAAGTCACTCGAATCTTTTAGGTGTGTTCCACAGCAGGCTGTATCTGGTTTCTTCAAAAGTTCTTGGTCGCTAACTTTCTGGCCAGGTGGAACATTCGCGTTGAGTTAAGCAGACCGGTCTTTCGTGAGCTTCACAAGATCAAAACTTTGACAAAATTCCACATTCGCCTCCAAGCCGGGGATACATACTACATCACACCCCCTCCTCTCCCCCTTAGCATTGACGCTCTGCCTCCGGCCTCAACTCACTGGCCAGATATTCCCCCTCCTCCGCCTGGGCCTCCCCCAGGAGTGTTTTCAGCCCCACTGGCCGGTGCCATGACATCTCTGCCAGTCATAACCTCACCACCTCCTCTGTTGCCATCGTCCAAGCAATCCTCCAAAGCAAAGGGCAGTAAGCGAGACTCTGTGACACAGGAGCCCCCAACGCTCTCGGGTTTCAAAAAATTGAAAAGTCTTTCCGTTCTCGATATCGACAATCTCGAATTGGTAACGGAGCTCAAGACTTGCGTTCGAAATTCTTCCGCCACACTTACCGAACTGCAACTTTCACTTTCTGATAGTCTGGGCCTACAAGCTAGACGGCCGCCACCTGACTCGGACCCGGACGATTCTGATGTCGATGATGAGTTTCAAGTGGTTCCCGTTTCCCAGAACACCAGCTTCGACGCGAGCGGCCCTGCGAAGACGTTTCGCTCCCAGGAAGAGCGTAAACTTCAAGAGGGCATACTGGGAAGAATATTTGATGTCGAACCTTTTATTACCAAGAAGCCTGCGCTTATCCAGAGTCCTCGCGAGGTGGCAACCAGTCAAGAGGATGATCCAGAAGCCGGCACTAACGACAATTCAGAAGATCCTCGTGAAGAATTTGTGTCATCTATCCGCAGTGTTTCAACGAGACTTATGTCACATATAAATGGCACTCGTGACTTCTCGGCAGCCCAACAGGATATTTTGGACGTGATTGAAAAGGCAGCAAGAAAATATGTGGATTCATGTGAGCTCCCTTCTCAGTCAAACAACGAACCGTCTGGTAGCAGCTCAGCGACACCTAAGGATGATGAGGAGCAACAGAGTGATGAGAGTGATGGATCGAAACCGACGACAACAGAATCAAGTTTGAACCCATTGTCTAAGAATAACGACTCAAACAATGATACATTACCAGACGATATCGAAATTGAGCATCTGAATACCATAGATGAGCTGGAGGTGGATTCGGACGAACAACAGACCAAGGACATTGGGGAAAAGGAAGTTGGAGTCAAAGAATCAGAAACACCCGAGGCAGTTGCTGATCCCTCTGGCTTACCATCGAAGACACTGGACGCTAACTCAGACTCATCAACGACCCCAGGGCTGAACAAAGCACACACAAACTTGGATACGCAGCGGGTGAATTATGAGTCCCTACTGTCAAATCTACAGCAGTTACAGGACGAGAACGATGCCTTCATCCAGAAGATCAAGGCGATCCGTGTGCAAGGTACTGTTGCTGAGTTGGAGCAGTTCAAGGACTCAGTAACACAACTAAGAGAACTAAGTCAGGAAGCTGAACATATCAGAGGCGCGATCAAAACGACACATCTCGAGATCAAACATATTGAGGATCAAGTCTTCGGACAAGCTCAAAACAACGACGGCGAAAAGTCACGACGCTCGATCGACGAATACCTGCGTGACACTCGTGGCATTGCGCTAGAAATACTGAGCATTCATCTCATCCCTGTAAAGGCATCCGTTCTGTCTAGAGCTATTGACCTGAAATGCATTAAGAACCTGACCCTGCTTAATGTTGGTAATCAGGGCCCAATCTGGACATTGCTCTCCAAAGAGAACAAGGTCTCACCATTGGCCTTACGGAGTGTCTTTACCGACAATGTTTCGACCGCATTCCTCAACTGCATGTCCCAGCTTGAAGAATTGCACGACTTGTTCTTGTTGGAGCGAAGTGCTAAGTATAAGCCTGAGAGTTTCGCACCACGAACTACCGTCACCATCGACCAGATCCGTCGGCTCGTCCTCAAGAAGCACATGCACTCACTCAAGAGACTCATGATCAAGGACGAATCAAACAGCAGCACCTGGGATGCGAATCAGAAGGCAATGATACTTATTTGTAACCGTGGTGTGCAGCTTGAGGAGCTGGCACTTAGCATGAATATCCACGCAGTGGTAAGTTGGTATTATCAGAATTCCGATCAGTCATTAACATGAGTATTAGCACGCCTTCATGCAGTATTTCGCTGGACTAGTGAACCTACGTGCTATAAACATTCTTCGATTCAGGAATAACGACACATGTATATGGGTCATGCGGGAGATTCTGAACTTCATCGTGGATAATCTCTCTCACCATCCCGAGCTGAAGCTGGAGTGGATCGCTATGGAGGACGATCGTCTCGACAGGGTCATTCGCCCTACGGACGCAATTGAAGAAGGGGAGAAGAGAAGAGGCAAGGGCAAAGAGAAGGCTACGGTTCATCCACATCACAACAGCGGCAACCTGCCTGTGCTACCATCCTGGGGTTCGGATAGCGAAAGTGAGGAGGACGATGATGATGCCTCGAATTGTGGAAAGAGGCTTCGACTCAAGACCGTTGGAGTCCTGCAGTTTTATGAGGTTTGGGGCGTCAAAATATTTGATAAGGAAATTCGATCTGGTCGACTCTAAGGTCTGGAGACAGCTTCCACATGTGGAGGTGCTTTTTGGTGACAGGTACTACCAAGGGCAAGACGGCGCAAACGGTTCAACCTTTGGGTTTTTGGATCAGGGTAAACTGGATGGGACAAAGGCGATGCACAGAGGGGGGGGTTGGTGAATATGGGCCTGCATGTAACTGACGGAGCGTCGCTTGTTGCACTTTGCATCGGGCATCTACAACTAGGTTATTAGTGGTGACTGGGCCATCGTTTAACTAGAAGCGTAATAGCAAATAATTTGTTTCACATGCGAGATAATACATCCCTTGAAACATTCCACTAGATACAAATGCCATCCTTTATATTTATGTGTAAAGTCAGATGTAATCCATAACGCAAAAGCGAACCAGCATAAGGGTGTAAAATCTCCAATAAACCCGAAACTGGTGTAATGAACTGTAGGGTAGCGCAAAAAGTGCATTTCTGTGGTTTCTTTCTGAAACATATTAAGGTCAACTACGGATGCCCACCGGCCCCTCGTTGTTTGGAGAAGGGCTTCTGGATTGTGAACGATCCCGCGGAAGGACGGGAACGAAAAAAAAAAACCAACCTGGCAATCCCTCTTTAAGTGAACTTGATGTGATTTTGACTGTGTTTTTTCCATGCTTCGTGTGACTTCTTCTTATACCTCAAGCAGCTGCAAGTAAGGTTATAGATTAAGTCATTATAAAAGCCTACTATGATATTTAATTCATGAGACTTATCTTCGTTCAGGCTAATATATATTGCCTTTTAAAACGTGAAGTTAACTGGGTCTTTTCAGTGTTTTGGCTTCCCACATCTCACTGTTGAAATGTCATAAGCCTTCAGCAATGGAGCGGAAGTCCGCGCGGGATACGAGGCTGTAGCCGAAAGGGAACCTCGAAACCACTGTAAAAGGCGCGAAAAAGTGGAGGGTAGTGGAGCTGTGTGCCGCAAATGCCTTGGCCTACCGTTGTTTTCAGTGGCTAGTGGCCCTGTTCAGATTGTCAACCTGCCCATGGCTGTACTGTCATGAAAGCAGCATTGGCCATTCGGATTTGGCCTGGTTTGGGGTGTGTGGGCAAGAAAACTCGAGGCTTTAAAGAAGGATGCCAAAATAAACTTGGCAAAGAGCGACCTAAGCTTAGGCTAGATTTACCCAAGTGAATTTTGTCGCTTAGGGTCAAGGTCCTGAGTTTTCTTTCCTCCCCTAGGTTGGGCAGGTTGTTTTCTTCCATTGACCTGAGTTAACTTATAAACTTCCCTCTTTTCTATTTCTTGATCTTCTGTCACGGTCCTCTCTTCCAGCCCTCGCCTTACATTGCCTCATCTTTCTCAAACCGTGCCTACCTACTAAGCTAGTCTCCCTCCTCTTCATGATGCTGGCCATTCGAGCTCTCCGAACTCCCGCCTCCAGGCAAGCCCTGCGCGCTGCTACCCCCCGCGCCGCCATCTTCTACGTATGAGATCACCACCAAAACTACTCCAAACCAAAACTACCCCGAACTTATTTAAACATGCGATTTGGGCGCATCAAGGGCATTCACTGACACACTTTCTACAGAACCGATGCTACTCGACCTCTGGCGAACGAGTTGCTAAATATAACGGTACCAAGGATGCCAATGTACGTTTTGCGCTCCCACGGCAAGAAAACTCAGGACCCCTATCACAAGTGATGAAAATGTTTAGGCAACTAGCCTAAGCTTAGGGTGCTCTTTGCCAAGTTCATTTTAGGATTCTCCTCTCAGGTCTCAAGTTTTCTTGCTCCTTGAGAGGTCCCTCAGAACACCTGTTGGATTATCCCAGCAGTCGGCTGGGCCGAGCAAGGTGCTGAGATAAAATAACTCAGTCTCGCTCAACACAATGCCTGGCTTCAGTCAATTGAAGAGATGTTTTGCTAACTTATCGCGCAGGGCAACTTCCTGGTTAGCTTGATCGAGGGTGACGGTATCGGCCCCGAGATCTCTCAGTCCGTCAAGGACATCTTCGCCGCCGCCAAGGTTCGTCACGCCAACTCGCCCACCGGTATAAGTCGCACCGAAGAGAAAAACCAATTATACTGACAAAACATCCTCAAGACCCCCATTGCTTGGGAGCCTGTCGACGTCACCCCCATTATCAAGGACGGCAAGACTGCCATCCCCGATGCTGCCATTGAGAACATTCAGAAGAACAAGATCGCCCTCAAGGGTCCCCTCGCTGTACGTCACCATGAACGCAAATCTGTCACAGTCTGTGTCTTTCTGATGACCTGCTGGCTAACATGTCTCTCCAGACCCCCGTTGGCAAGGGACATGTCTCCCTGAACCTTACTCTCCGACGAACATTCAACCTCTTCGCTAACTTGCGACCCTGCCGATCCGTCGCTGGCTACGAGACCCCCTATGACAACGTCGATACCGTCCTGATCCGAGAGAACACCGAGGGTGAATACTCTGGCATTGAGCATGTTGTCGTCGATGGTGTTGTTCAGAGCATTAAGCTTATCACCCGTGAGGCTTCCGAGCGTGTCCTGCGATTCGCCTTCCAGCACGCCGAGTCCATTGGCCGTAAGAAGGTCCGCGTCGTACACAAGGCTACCATCATGAAGCTCTCAGACGGTCTCTTCCTCAAGGTCGCCCAGGAGGTTGCCAAGGACTTCCCCGGTATTGAGTTCGACGCTGAGCTCCTCGACAACAGCTGCCTCAAGATGGTCACTGACCCCACTCCTTACAACGACAAGGTCCTTGTCATGCCCAACCTCTACGGTGACATTCTGTCCGATATGTGCGCCGGTCTCATCGGTGGCCTTGGTCTTACCCCCTCCGGAAATATTGGTGATGAGTGCTCCATCTTCGAGGCTGTCCACGGCTCCGCTCCCGACATTGCTGGCAAGAACCTTGCCAACCCTACTGCCCTCCTCCTCAGTTCCATCATGATGCTGCGACACATGGGTCTCACCGAGCACGCATCCCGCATTGAGACCGCTATCTTCGATACTCTTGCCGAAGGCAAGGCCCTCACTGGTGATCTTGGCGGCAAGGCTAAGACCAACGAGTACGCCGCTGCCATCATCTCCAGGCTGTAAATATACATCCTTCAGTTTAGATACCTGCCTCCTCACCCGAGGGTTTATACGCGATTTTCTTTTTTTTTAAGGGTAGTGTACTTGTTGAGTATACCAGACCTAAAATCAGGCACGACGAAATGATCAAGTTACGGAGTTGCTCTTGATAATGAGGACCAACAAAAACAGTGTATGAGATGAGAACCAGTGCAGGATAATGCCTGAGCTATGTGATATAACATTGGTAACAATATAGTCAAAATTCAAAATTTGTCACTCTCATATCGCTCTCATGACAATGCGTACTTCTAGTCTAAGGGTAAATTCCTTTTATGCCTCGCTATAATTTTACATGATGCTCATTTATCATGAGTTTCATACCCTTTTAGGTACTAGTGTCCAAATGTTTATAAGTCACAGCAATATGCGACGCCACACTTGAACCCCACAGCCGTAGCTAACCCACCATTCATTTATTACCTGGCCATTGCCCAGCCACATACACCTTGGGCTGTTGAAGTGCCTACTAAGTCAGGTAGCTTCTAGCATCATAGCACTAGATCCCCAAGCACCTATTCACAGCAACATCACCTGTGATATAATAGACCCGTACTGCAACATTCCGCGTGTGACACTCGTTATTGGATTTTCTCTCTCGACTAGAGAATAGCTCGCAAAGATAACTGCGCCGACCCGGCGCAACACAGTCCGACCCTGTCGAGTATGCGACGGCACCCCTAAGTTCTAACTCGAGACCATCATCAGAATCACCATGGCCGATACCGAGCGTACGATCCTCGATTTCTACCAGATACCTACTCTGTACCCTACAGAATGGCCAGCCGAGAAGGACCTGGAAGACTTGGACGATGATGATGAAGGCGAGAAAAATGCTGCTATAAAACGAAGACAGTCACGTTATCAGGCGCTCGAGAGAGCCGTGAGCCAACGACGGAGCAACATTCCTAGAGAAGACGATCAAGGAGGCGTTGGAAATATTGTTCAAAAAGACGAGCCAGATCCGTTAGGGACTACTGATAGCGTCGTCAGAACACTGAAGCACCTTGGTCTGCCCCTCCAAGATGACCACCGACTACGTATGCTCCCGTGCCATGACTATGCGATTCACGGATATAATAGATTGACGGCGTGTGGCTAAACCAGGCAATCGATTTCTACTCTCTTCAACAACATTTTCGCCAGCTCTCTTCCTCTCCCAGATGCATGCTACTGCCGACACTCGGAGTCTCCTTACTGGTCTCGACGTTCTATCACAATCCATCGATCAAAAGTCAGCGTCCCTCAAGGTCCTCGTTGAGACCAACTTCGAAAGATTCGTCAAAGCCAAAGCAACAATAGATAATGTCTACAAGGAGATGAAATACCGCGGAATGGAACCACCTGACGCCAATAATGCGCACTCCAATGCAGCCCAGCGTCGCAGTTATCGAAATAGTGTGGCGGGKGGKGCTGGGTTAGGAATCAACAATCCCCTGACATCTCCCAATATTGACACGCGTAAAAAGAATGCACTGACAAAAGAGAGCGAGTACGGTGTGCTGGGAATAAAGGGCCCTCTACTGGAGGTTTCTGCAAAGGCTGAGGACGTATGGGGACCTGCCTTAGGAGGAAGAGAGAAGGAGGAAAACCTCAAAACCGTTTCAAATCATCTGACAAGATTCAAGGACTACGTTGAGCTGAGCACGTCGATAGCAGACAGCATCAAGCGCAAGGATTATGAATCATTAGTCGATGAGTTCAGCAGGGCAAGAAAAATTGCAGACGAAGCTCGGCGATTGACAGAGGAAATAGGGGACGAGACACCGACAGAGCCCCAACTTTACCAGTTGTTGATAGCGGGACGCATGTGGTATGATGTTGACCAGCAGATACGCGCCTTCAAACGCGACATCTGGAAGAGGCTGGTTACTCTTCACACCGCATCCAGGACGGATGGCACAACTGGCCGTATCCAAGATCAACATATGGAACTCATCGGATTGCTACTTGAGCTTGGCGCCGATGACAATCCCATCTGGGTGTGGCTTTTGAGTCGATACGACCATTTGAAGGGTAAAATTCAATCGACAGCAGACCGCTCAAAAGTTGAGATCGAGGTGCTTCGTCGCCGGCTGGCCAGTAACGATAAACCGAACCCCAATATTATCGCCGCGCATCTTCGATCCCTAGGACGCCCGGTGATTGAGGATAAGCCTTTGACATTCGACTCACCTGAAGTAATTGAGCTCTGGGAGAAGATGTTATCATTCCTGAACAGTCTCCTGTCAAGTGAAGGCATTCTGGGTGAGGTGATAGAGTTCTGGCAGACAGTGCAGGGGTTCATTAATGGGTCTGCTCAAGCTGCCCTCCCCGTTGGATATCGGGGCGAGTCTCGGCATCACCATGAACTCTCACCGCAGAGCGTTGACGAGTTACGAAAAGGAGCTGTGGAACTAGCGGACTTGCTCCGAGAACATGCTTATTCATTCTTCGTGGATATGCCTCCCGAAGATGTATCACTGCTATTCTCACCAGTACCCAATACGCCAGCCCCGACGACGCCCGGATCTGCCGCACTGTCGTCTCCCAGAGATCCTCGCTTCAATTTCGATCCAAACAACATGCCTCCTCCGTCGCCCAAGAGGGGTGAAGTCTGGGAAAAGCTGGCATTCTGGCCTCCGTGGTCTAATTCCATCAGCGGCGTTCACTATCTGTCGAAGATGCTGACTTTAGTTGGCGCTGGAGCTGGTGATTTAGCGTGCATTGAGCCAATTGAGTCCGGAGAAGGCCAGGTAATTGATCGCCTCAGGAGTCTTGTTGGAGGTTCCCGAGAGCGATGCGTGACAGCGTTGTGCGCAGCCTGGAACAGAGATGCCGAGAATATTAAGTATGTTGAGGACTGGCAGCGCTCGGTTGAGATGGGGGACGTGACACGAATGCCAGCCAGCTTCGCTGCCTTCGAAGGAGCAGTCCTATCAGGCATGCAGAAAATACTCTACATCCCCGATGCCATGTCCAGGTCAGGCTCGGGAGATATTGTCTTGCCACCTCCGACCAAACTTCTCATGATGGTTCGCAGCCAGTATGTTACCACTCTGTACAAGGCATTGAGCGGCATGGTCGAAAACGCCGAGCGCTCTTTGAAGAAGACGGAGGACGACTGGTTAATAGATAGCGAGAGATCCCTTGCACTGGCTGCGGCGCCGAGCATGGCGGGCAAAGGGGCATTGGACTCAGGGGATAGGGTACGCCTTCTACTACCGCTTCGAACGACTTCACTGTACTGACAATTCTATTTAGAACATTCGCATGCTCATGACCTTGAGTAACTTGTCATCATTGCGGTCACAAGTAGTGCCAAGTCTCAACTTGCAGTTCGAGAATGCCTTCTCTGTAAAGTTGACTGATGAGTCCAAAAAGATTCGCGAAGTTCTTGGACAGATCCATGAACGACTTTTCCAGTCCTACACGAAACAGTCAATCGAAAGGCTTCGCGATGTCATTCAATCAGGCATCTCAGCCCCTGACTGGGCTCCTGGCCAAGGGCAACGTACCCAGGCAGCTAAACCATATGTGTACGAGGCGCTTCTTACTCTCGTACTTGTTCATTCCCAGGTTTCTACTACTGCGCCGGCTCTTACAGTCGAAGTTTTGTCCTTCCTACTCGAACAGACGTCCACCCAGCTCCTGGAAGCCTTCAGACGTCGGCCGCGATATACTCTAGAGGCACTCATGCAAGCAACCCTCGACGTAGAATTCGTCGCTCAGACCCTCAGCCACTACACTTCAGAGCGTGCTTCGGAGCTTCAGAGCCAGATCTATCAAGAGCTTGATGCCCGTACGGACAACGAGGCCCGCGCACGTCTCCAAGGCGAACTGTCCGAAATGCGCAACGTTCTCAAACGCCTTAGAGAAGCGAGCAAAAATGAATTTGCTTGCTTCAAGAAGCCAAAAAGGCCAGGCCACGGCCCCAGCAGGAATAATAGCGGACTGTCCGGTATCTCAACCTAGAAGGCTCTGGATCCGCATATTTCCGGCATATCAAGCAACCAAGAGCGGGAGGATGATAGTTACACAACGGCCATGGACTCTACGGGTTAGAGTGCGCTCGGCGAAGAGGTCTGTGTATTTAAGAACACGTAGTACTAGAGCATAACCGAAGTGAATCACGATCAACTTCCTTCACTTCTGCAAGCCCGTCCCATCGCTGAAAATTGCATCAAAGAAACCCCGAGGTATATTGTTTCTTGGTTTTTTTTCTATACCGTGAACGCCAGAGTTGAACCACAGCCCCTGATTTCTATTTTGTTTTCGTTGACTTTTCCTGCTCTCTCTCATAATGCAGTGGGCCCAAAGGCACCGTGCCTAGTCATACATAGGTATAGTATATATCGTGTGGTATCAAAATTCATATTCTTTTCCGTCCATTCATTAGCCATTAAACGGTTCAAATCAAATACGTCTTCCCCCGTGCATGATTTATGCTGATATACTCCGTGAGCAACGGTCGCAAGTGTCATAAGCATCGGCCTGTGAAGAATCGTTCAAGGAGTGTTCGTAATGAGAAGGTGAGAGCAGAGAATCATCTCGAGGGATCGAGAGTCTGCTGGGGAGAAGGGGGAGCCATCTTGGCGGGCAAGGATCGTATCGTCTGTTACAGTGATTAGCAGGCTATAACAAACGGATTAGAACGGATGGTACTCACAGTCCAAATCGATGCTTTGGAAGTAAGTTCCTATAACAGGATCTTGTTCCGAGGTGATCAACTTGCCTGTGTCACTGCGGAGTGTTTGTGGCAGGGCTTTGCGGATCGCCAAAAGCATCTTCAGCAGCCCTGCTAGATTACCACCCTGCTGTGTGAAGACACCCGGGTCTCGTTCTAGGGGCCACCCAGGGCGGAGATGATCTTGCTCCCAAGCTTTGAAGGCCCAAGTCGATTTCTCAAGACAGTTGAGGAAGATGACAGCCGTTAGATACATCTTGAAGTTCACCTTGACCTTGCTGTCCTGAAGTACGCGATG